TTTATTTTATTATATATATATATATATATATATATATATATATATGAATGCATGCAAAACGGTTCTATCTCCAAAAAGTTGTATCTCTTCCATAAATTTCAACAGAAGAGGTACTCTTCGTACTTTAATTCAATCAAATATCAAATCGTGTTGAAATTGTTATTGATGCCATCATTCATTTGATAAATTCATTTATAAATTTATATAATAATTATTGCAAATTATAAGACATGTCAATTTTTCTTAATCGAAGATATATATATTTGATTTTCGGCAGGCAACGATACGAAACTCCTGAAACGTCGGTCGGTGATACTAATGTCTCGAACGTTTAGCGTTCGCAGATTACAGAAATAATCGTTTATCGAGAAAATATAGCGCGTATCTAGACGCGAAATCACAATACTATTATAAAGGATCGTTCTTTCCTGTCGCTCCGCTGAAACTCCCCTCCTCCTTTTGTCGCACCTACACTCCGTAATGTCCCTTTTTATGGTGCATGATTCGAAGCTGCCCCCGGGATCGATTTTGTCCCGTAGCACAGTACTTATCGTACCCCGTTACGAGGGCACATTGCTTTTTATGGTGGTTACATGTTCCGATCGCGCACGGCGTACCCCCGCACTCTTCCTTCTCCGTCCCCCCTTCGTTCTTTTTATTCGCGAAATGAGATTTCTACGCCGTGTCAAAAATCGCATCGCTCAAATGTGGTATTTTACAAATAGATTATTTGTAAGAGAAAATCAAGGATTCCATGCTTCATATTCTAGAAATGCAATGATTGAGTTAAATTCACAGGAGACATAGGATCATTCAGTATAATTAATTCAGTAACTTAATTGAATAGATGCATTCGAGAACGGATGCTAAACTTGTACATTGTATGAAATCATTAATGTATCTCGAGTTCTCGATGGTATTCCGACGATTTCACCGAAACAGAGAAGAGGATATTTATATATTACAATTAACCCCCCGGCTATCGATCGAGACATCGCGAACTCACACGTGCCGTTCGGAAAGATATTTTAAGTTCAATTATATCGTCGCCAATAAGGTTGAATATAGAATCATTGCTCGCTATTTCAGTCTCTCTAACGCGGACTCTGATGCATTCGCAATTCTTCGTATTTATATTTTCGAATCAAGCAGAAAATTTGTAACCGCGATGAACAAAATCGATATTACGCGAAACTGATTAACTTGATATGATACACGCGATCAACAGCTTCAAACATTTGTTTGAACAACGAGGGATCTATATTTGTAATGAATCTGTATCTCTATATCGGGAATCTTAATTGATTTTTGCTCATCTATATCATAAATACTTTTGGTTACTAATAGACGGTCGCGTTTAGAAATAACACTTAAATCATAAATCAAGACTGTCACTAAAAAAGAAACTACTCTGATTCTGCAACTCTGACCCTGTTGTAATTTTGACTCCAATCTGACTTTAGTCGTTGCATATTTTATTTGTTCGAGTAAGTGACTTTACGTATCGGCGAACATTGATTTCGTCGACGCGGTAAATATGTTCGATATCCGCAAAGACGCGTCGCCGAGTTCGACCGGAAAAAAAAAAAAAAAAACGAACAGATTCCGCCGGATACGGCCGGATACGATACGCAGAAATCTCAATTGCGATTTCATGATCCTCTCAGAGAGAGACGACGTCGGCCCGACCGGCTCGTTTCGAATGCTACAAATGTGCCGCGCGCGCTCGTTCAGGTGGCTCGAGTAGGTGCTGAAAAAAATCACGTCTGCATTTACATAAGCGCCGGTATAAACCACTCGACAGAGAAAGCCCGACATAAAACCTAAACAGGATCTCGAATGCGCGGGACAGCACATCCGTTGAATACGCAATGGCCGTATGTAGCCGATGTACATACCCGTCTACCACCCCGTTGCCGAAAAATGCTTTTATTATTCACCGGTGAAAATTACGAACGCGACAGTATACGCGTTTTGCCCCGGCGTCTACTAGAGTTTACACGGCTCATCGACGACGTCTTCGAGAGAGCAAGAGAGAAAGAGAGAGAGAGACAGAGAGAGAGAGAGACGTGCCTTGATAAATCACCGATCAAAGTGTGTTTTTCCTTTTTTTTTTTTTTTTCTATTAACTTCTACAGTATTTTATTGGTATAATATTCGAAATTTCTTTTAATACAGAATTTTTGTTTCGCATTATCATATCTGATAATGTTAAATTATAGAACATCGTCTTGACAAAATAATATGAGACAAACGTAGGATATATTTAGTTTCATTTATCATTTCATGGGATCATCAAGAGATTAAAAATAAGGCGAAATTAAAGGTAATACGCGGTGACGCGCCCGAAGCATCCTATAGGAAATAAAGAGACGAGGGTCGATTCTCGCCAAAGGATCTACATTAATGATATCCGAGGGACTCGACGTGTCCCAAAGACAACTTCAAGTTTCGCAAGCTCCTCCGTAAGACAAATCGCGCGAACACGCCCGTCACATCGCGATCGATATACGCGGTATGTATAACGTCCGGAGAGTGATGTTCCCGGCGCCTGACGGGAATTTTCAAGCCACGGTGGATCCCGGCAAAACGATTTTCGTGTCCCTCGTGGATCTTCGATCCATTGTGGCACGGCGGAGACGCCGGCCGCCCTTACGAGCCCGCTTTCATGGCTCTTTAGCATTTCCGGCGTAAACGTCCCTTATGCGGACGCCTTCCCCCTCGTCCGAAAGGGCGCGGTAGAGAAAAAATTGACTTTTAAACCGGCAATAAAAACGAAAAATGTGAAATCTTTGATTTTAAAGGCCCCGCCAGCCCGCCCGCCCTCTTCGCGAGGACGACAGTTGGTCGATGCGTATAACCCCACGGTGGTAACCTTATTTCTCTGATATCGCAAACCAAGCACGTTCGGTACCTCGCCGCCATCCCGAAATCCGCGTGCAACGGTATGTATATCGTGTCGGATTACTCCAAAAGCCTCCGGATTTTTATACGCTGAATTTTAAAATACACTCCTCGGTGCCGTCTCTGATTTTATTCGCCGACATCCGAGAACGGTCAATCTTGCGCACGTGTC